ACTCGGGAGGATGAGGCAGCAGGATTGCTTGAGCCCAGGAGTTTGAGGTTGCTGTGAGCTAGGCTGACGCCATGGCACTCACTCTAGCCTGGGCAACAAAGTGAGACAAGAAAGAAAGAAAAAGAAAAGAAAGAAAGAATTCCAAATACTTATGTTTATTTCTTCTGCAAGCTTGGTGACAGCAATCATGTCAATCTATGACTATTCCTAATCCTATCATCACGATAACTACCTGAATCTACAGGAAATCAGGTAAGGCAAGCAAAGTTTGAGGTACAAGACAGTATTCTGAAGTGCCAAGGACATGAAAAAGCAGTTCACAGATACAAACAGATACTCAACTTCATGCATAAATAAGTGAAAATTAAAGTAAGGTAGTAATTTTTACCAATCAAACTAGCAAAAATGAAAAAGTTGGATAATTCTTGCTATAAATGAGTGCAGCAGAAAATAAGAACTCTCATACTTTACATCTTATAGTAGTAATCGGAATCACCTTTTTGAAAGGCAATTTGGGGGCCAGCTACAGTGGCTCACACATGTAATCCCAGCACTTTGGGAGGCCAAGGCAAGAGGATCACTTGAGGCCAGGAGTTCAAGACCAGCCTGGTCAATATAGTAAGATCCTCCATCTTTACAAAAAAAATTTTAAAAAAGTTATCCAGGCATGGTGGCTCATGGCTGTAATCCTATCTACTTGGAAGGCTGAGGTAGGAGGATTGCTTGAGCCCAGGAGTTTGAGGCTGCAGTGAGCTGTTATCACACCACTACACTCTAGCCTGGGTGACAGAGAAAGACTCCATCTCAACAAAAAAAGAAAGGCAATTTGGCAATCTTACAACATTTTAGAAGTAGGTATACCTTTTGACAAAAATGAGAGAAATTAATCTCATGATATATTAATATAACTTTGTATAAAATGTACATTTTCACTGGAGCATTGTTTAGAATCCCAGAAAACAATAATCACTGTTTCTTCCATAAGGTTGTTATAATGATACAATGTAATATAATTCAATAATTTAAAATAATGAGAGGAATCTCTAAGAACTGATATGAATAAACATTCAAGATAGGATGTTAGGGTGAAAAAAAAGCTGCAGATAGCATATGAAGTATGAACCCCATTTGAGGTTTTCCACAACTGTAAAACCAAGATGGGATTACAGGATTGTTGTGAAGATGAAATGCCTACGTTTGGGGATATGTGTAAAAGGCTCAAAAAGGCATAGTAAGCACTCAATACATGTCTTTCTAGTACTTCAGTCTAGAAAGAGGGAAACAAAACAGATACTTTTTACCTTTATTTTTTTCAATGTTTTTAACCATAAACATGTTTTATGCTGTGAATTAAAAATTGCTTTAAGTAAGTGAGTAAGAAAACAAATGCAAACTTTAACTTCCTTAAAGTGATGAATTCATCTCTCTCTTCATTTGTTTTCAGTCTCTGGTATATGTTTCTTTAAATTGCCATTAGATTTGCATGCCCCAGTAGGGCAGAATGATTTGTTTTGTACACAGTAGGTACTCACTCACTCACTCATTCATTCATTTATAGAGACTGAATCTTGCTCTGTCACCCAGGCTGGAGTGCAGTGGCATGATCATAGCTCACTTTAACATCAAACTCCTGGGCTCAAGCAATCCTCCTACCTCATCCTCCTGAGTATCTAGGACTACAGGCATGCCACGGCACCCAGCTAATTTTTTTTTTTTTTTTTTCCAGAAACATGGTCTCACTATGTTGCCCAGACTGGTCTCCAATCCCTGGCCTTACAGTGATTCTCCCGTCTCAGCTTCCCAAAGTGCTGGGATTACAGGCATGAATCACTGTACCCGGCCAGAATTCAATAATTAAATCTAATTTATTATCAAACTAGGATCTTTGTGGTTCAGAATGAAAAGAAAAAGTATTGAATTTCTGTTAGTATTCTGGTAAATAAATATGTACTTGAATGAGTTCTATTATCTTGAATTATCTCTTGTAACTGAATTATCTTTTGTAACTTAGTAATATTAAGAACCCTTATTTGATTTTATACTTACAGTTTCTAGGCTCTCTTTTTTCATGTTCAGTGAATCTAGTTGTTGCTGAAGTGTATCTAATTCCTAAGGGGAAAAAAACAGTAAATATAAATACGAATTACATTAAGAATAATTTGTTTCTCCATTTCTCAATATTTCAAATATGGATGTGACTAAGTTTTATAAACATCTTAAACCAGTATCTTGCATTTTGACTAGAATTTATTAACATTTCATTATATCTATTTTTGCCAATTTCTATAATTATTCCCACAAACCTTGCCATCTACCTTCAAAGAAATTTCATGAGCTTGTCAAAGGTAGCTAGATCTTTTCACAGTGAATCATTACTGTGTTCTGAGAACATCAAACACAAGAAGTTTTCAAATTAATGATGTCATTGTTTAAAGTTATGATTTTTATTTTTAATTTCTAACCATATTTTCATATTTTTTGCCCAATTTCTCAGAAGGCCAAGATCTATACTATATAAACATATACACAAACATATACATACACATGTAAACATGGTTTACTCCTAGGATAAGACCCTTAAAACGATTATTCATTCATAACCCTTCTACAAGATTAACTATATTTTCGTAGTATTTTGGCATTTCTACAATATTCTTTCATCAATGCTTCATGGTCTTTTACAAATCTTATCTGAAATAAACAATTATACTAAATTGTTAGTTAAGGCATATCTGAGAAATTAAAACCATATTCATTAATGGCATTTATGGGATCCAGTTCTTTGCTTATTCTTTAGTTAAGGGCCATCCAGGCATGAAAAGGCACCATCATGACTCAATATTGGGAGGATTCTCAATAAACCCTCAGCAGGCACCTAAATTCCTAGATTGCTTACTTAATAGCAAATGTTCTCATTCATATTTGAAAGCTAAAATGTTGACCACATGGAAGTAGAGGGTAAAATGATGGTTACCAGAGGCTGGGGAGGGTTAGGGGAGAGGACAGATAAAGGGAGGTTGGTTAATAGGTACAAAAATATAGTCCTGGGGTCCTCAAACATTTTGAACAGGGGGCCAGTTCACTGTCCCTCAGACCATTGGAGGGCATGACTATAGTTTAAAAAAAGCTATGAACAAATTCCTATGCACACTGCACATATCTTATTTTGAAGTAAAAAAACAAACGGGCAAAAACACCCACATGTGGCCCGCGGGCCGTAGTTTGAGGACGCCTGATATAGTCAGATAGAAGGAATAAAGTCTAGTGTTTGATAGCACAGTAGGGTAACTATAGTTAACAATAATTCATTGTATATTTCAAAATAGCTATAAGAAAAGATTTAAAATGTTCTCAACTCAAAGAAATGATAAATGTTTGATGTGATGGATATCCTAATTACCCTCATTTGATCATTACACATTATATGCATGTATATATAATAAATATCACATGTACCCTACAAATATGTAAAACTTTTATGTATCAATAAAAAACATTAAAGTAAAAAAATTAGTATTTAAGCAATATGATTAGGGAACATAGCCATTCAAATCAGGGATACAGCAAGTAAAAGGTATGCTGCTTATTAGGCAGGGAAGAAAAGGAAACAAAGTAAATATTTATATGACTCTTATCTAGGAGGCCTTTTAATGTTTCAATTTAAAGTCCAAAAAAATGCAAGTATTTTCATGTTTATGACATGCAAAAATGAAGGATGCATAGACTTAAACAGAAAATAATTACAGTGAAAGCTAGGTCATTAAGCAGCTTAAGAAAAGGAAATTTTGAGATGAGTGCTTCTCAAATTTAAATATCCATATGAATTGCTGGGGGCCTTATTAAAACAAAGACTCTGAACAGTAAATCTAGTCAAGTTCTCGGGGTACTGATGCTGCCAATCTTCAAACCATACTTTTCAGTAGCAAGACCACAATATGCCTGGCACATAGTAATAATTAATATTACCTGCAGCAATTTCTCATTTGTGGTTTTCATCTCTATATATTTGACTTGTTTTTCAGGAGACATATTTTTTATAATGCCATCTGCTGCTTGTTTTTCCTGTTCAATTTCTTCTTCTACACTTCTAATTTGTTTTTCCTTCCTGAAATCAAAAGCATGTTATACTCTTGTTACTATATTGAGGAAAATAACATCAAATCATATTACCCAGATCACAGATTGAATTTAATAGTGTACTTAAAGATATTCAACCATAGTATGTGACTGCAAAGTCCTTATATTTGCATTAAAATATTCTATCTCATACAAAATTTGTCCCCATCAGCACACACTTATTTTACACTTTCTCTCCTCTATCCCCAAGTCCTTTTATTTCCTCACTCTCTTATCTTACTTTATTAAGAAATCACAAAGATTATCATAGAAAATCCTTAATACCTTGTACATGTGAGGATGCACTTATACTTTTTGTTATCATACCCTCAAAAAACAAACAAAATGGTTAAGTTTTATAATTGTGGTTTTCAAACATTTTTTAGCCACAGATTTGATCAAATAAAATCTTGTATAGAAGTTTGCCATGTAAATCATATAAAGCAATGCAGCTCAGCTGACTGGGGAGTAGGGAGACCTGCAGTGCAATCTGATTTTAAAAATAACTTTAGATTAATAAAATATTTTGCTTGCATTCCCTTTTAGCTACTGCTTTAGTTATAATGGCTATTCAACAAAATATAGCAATAACTATATTTTAGCATTATAAAATAATAAGCTAATTTCCCTAAAAACATAACTTAAACATTACAAATATAATTCTATAAAAGTAGTAATAGTGAAATTAATTAGAAGCAATAACCATCTTTACCACATAATCTCAAGAAATATCAAGAGGAGTTAATCTTTTGTAATTTATCCTAAACTTGATTATTCACTACTAACAATGTTTATTCCTACTATGTCTATGTAGTTAAATGGGAACTAATGCTGTACTCCAGTATTCCATTTTACAGAGGAAAAATTACAGCATAAGTAAGGTGACTGATTTTCCAAAGGCTATATAATGTCAGGTCTTTTGATTCTTTGAGCACTTACTTTGCTTCTATATTACAAGCTGGCAGTAAAAGCATCAATGATGGCGTCATAAAAATGAGTATACAACAAAGTTGAAACTCAAGGGGATATAAAAACTTGGGGGTATCTTTTCAATTTGAATCTTTATATGCACAAAATACCTTCAAGACTAACACAAATTATATTAGCAACAATATATCTTTCAAAAGTATGCATTCTCAATATTATATACTTTAAATCAACAAGTAAAATTGTTAATGTTTTAATAAAATTTTCAAGAGTAATTAAGAAACACAAATGTTAGGCAAATTGCCTTACTTGTTATACTAAAAAAGTCAAAGATAACTTTAAGAAACTATTCTAGTTAATCTTTTGCTGAGGAAGTCTAGTTTTTTTTTTTTAATCACCCATTCACTGGGTACAAAGGTTAAAACAAAGTGAAATGCAATCATATGACATACTTTTTAAAAATGGTGTAGAAGAAACAGGATAAGCTGCTTCAGCACACCAGTCTCAGACGAAAGAAAAAAGTAAAGGTAAGCTCCTATATATTTATATGTGTGAGATTGTCATTGAATATTTTTAAGAAAATAAATCATATGTAAGTTTGCAAAGTCTGTATAACAATATTCGAGTCTAATAAGTGATGAATGAGCAGAAAGTATGATTATATTTTCACATGGTCTATATCAGAAATAATACACACCTAGGACATGGACAAAGAATCTTTCCCAAATTATCTTTCCAAAGTTATGCTATACAAAGTCATTATTTTTCTTTTGGGGGAAAAAGGGTTTTTAAAAAAGAATACAGTATCATTTTATTTTAAAGCATATAATAATTATATAAAGTAAATAACTAAAAGCTCCTAAGCAGCTCATACTCCAAATTCCATTAAGAACTCTATTTCCTTCTCAATATCTACCACGTTCTTTAAGCTCTTTTTTTTCCTGTAAAGTAGATTGTAGGCTATGTAAAAAGGCATTTAATTTTGTGAAATAACTAAAAGAAACTGATATTCTATTTGTTTTCTATTTTTATTTCTAAATAATCACTAAATTGAAACTCAAATATCATTTCAAAATAAATTTCAAGTTGAGAAAAAGTTCCAAAAGGAGAAAAAGGCAACAATAACTGTCTTCTTTTTAAATCAACTTTTTGAATAGGGTACACTAACTAATGAACAATTTCTGCATAATCTATCGGCTAGCTTTCCTACCAATTTGATTTTTTTTAAAGACAGCTGATAATGCTAACAAATACTTTTGTCTGGAAATTTATTCAGTGTTATAATGGTCAACATTCACCCCCTTTCTCAATCTTTCTCCTCTCAAAAGACACAAAATATGTGAAAATCCCCATGAATGGTATGGATCAATCAGTGTATTTCAAAGCTTTAATGTTTTGGTTTGTTAAATGCTTTGTAGCACAGAATCTACCCTGAGCTGAGTATATACTGCTTCTAATTCTAAAATTTATCAAGTGAAAAGAAGAAAAACAGAACCCTTTTCTAGTTTTTATAATTTTATTTCTCTTAGCACACTGGAGAAAATAATTATTAGTATTAAGTAGATGATAAATATAATAAATAAAAAACCATCCTCTTGTTTTCATTTCCATATAGGCTCATAGTCCTGCCTCACCTCCATTACCTTCCTCACCTGCTTCTATTTCACATCAACTCTTCACTTAAATCCAGTTAATTTTTTGTAGCCTATTTGCTTTCTTTAACCAATCTTATCCTATTTATTTCTGAAAAAACAGTACTTGTCCCTTACTCACCTCTCCTTACTCACCTCTGTATCCCACCAGAGACATCAGTAAGAACCTCACACTACTCAGAAATACCGAAACAAGCCATTGAAGAGGCTGCATACCTACTCCTAGAGATCATTAAACACAGGTAGACTATTAATACCTTTGTAAATTATTTAGATATGCCCTTCTGTGGGCAATGGTCTGGACTAAGTGATAGTTTGAACTTATTTCTGGCTCTGTATCCAAGCTGTATAAAATCTAGGAGGAATACTAGCTTTTTTTTCTTTTTTTTTTTTTTAACAAAATCCATTCAACTATGGAGAGGGAGAAAGTAGAAGGGGAATAAGCATAAACAAATCAACAAATTGAAGGCAAGGAGAAAGTTGACTAGAATAGACCAGCATTGAAACAGCAATATATTCCTCATTGCTAACGAGGTGACAGACTTAGTAACCTGAAAGGAATCCTGCTCACTCTGATTAGTTTTTCTACTTCTCTCTCTGATGGAATAAACTTTCCTTAAGAAATCATAAATAACTAATTGCACAAATGCTGTAAGAAGATTCAAAAGACTATTTTAGCAGACCCCAAAGGATGACAGGATATATTCATATCCTTTAAAACAGATAATTTGTTTGCAGAAGGTCTCTAATGTTGACTTTAAGAAAAAGAGGTAAAGAATAAGAAACATCAATGTCATGAATAAAATGATTAAATGGAAAGTAACTATTTAGCAAGAAGAGTATACTCCAATAAATGGCAATTTCCAGGTAAAGACAGCATGTTGAATGTACCCATTAACTATGAATTCTGTCTAAAACCTGAATATAATGAAAACAAAAGATAAAAAGGAGTAAAAACTCACAAGAACAAGGAGAATGGAAGAGGGTACAACAACAACAAAACCTAGAAACCAGAAAGCTAACAGTTATGTGGAAACTGACTAGGAAAGCAACATTTTTCCATGCTCACAACAGGAAAAGCTGAGAGACCACTTGAATTATACTGCAGAAACTCCAAATGGCCCAGCAATTAGTAACACCAAGTATACTGGGAAGCAGAGGAGGACGAGCTAATTCCTCCCTGCCTCTGCTCAGCCAGATAATGTTCTTCCCCTACTCTAGCAGAAGATAAAAGGATTTTTTCCCTCTGGAGAAAATAAAACAAAGAGAATTTGGGCACTAGGTAGAAGTGAGTGCAGCGGCATTATTGAGATTAAGTTAAAGTTTACATACTAAATATTGATATAAACCTACCTTTTTCACCACTTAGCTAACAGAATGCTGGCCACTAAACCTTATCTGTTCAGGCAGTAAATTAGAAGGATCATTTTGTGGAGCCCAACTACCTCAAGAAAAAAGACCTAAAGATAATGACATTTAGGGATTCCCCAAGAAAAGAGTCCAAGGAGTCAAGACCCACACAAATGCATAGTTTCCAAACCAGCCTTTTAGCTCCCCAACACTCATACAGAAGCCCCAAACAAAACATTAACAGATACCGGTATATGAAGAAAGCCTCCAATACAAAGAACACTGTTCAAAATAAACTGGAAAAGTACAACCTGAGGACATTAGAGTTTATTCAAGGAAAAAAAAAAAAAAACAAGAAAAGATAATACATTCATACAACAGGATACTACTAAAGAAAATGTTCGGAGAACCAAAAAAAAGCTCTCAGAATTAAAAGGTTGGGAAAAAGAAAACTTCAATGAAAGAAAGAGTCTGAAGATAAAGTCAAGGATTTTGTCTTCCAGAAAGCAGAGCAAAAACACAGAGATGAAAGTAAAAAAAAAAACATCAGAAGATCATTCTTGGAGGTCTGACACCCAATTAATTTAGTTCTACAAAGAGAAGTGAGATTTAAAGGAAAGAAAGTAAGAAGGAAATAAATGATCAATATCATCAATCAGTGAAATAATTCAGAAAATTTCTCAGAACAGAGGGACATAGCCCTCTCAGAACCTTCGAGATTTAAAGGACCGACTGGTCAGGCAAGGTGGCTAATGCCTGTAATACTAGTACTCTGGGAGGCCAAGGTGGGTGGATTGCTCAAGATGAGGAGTTAGAAACCAGCCGGAACAAGAGCAAGACCCCATCTCTACTAAAAATAGAAAAAAATTGATTGGCCAACTAAAAATATATAGAAAAAATTAGCCAGGCATGGTGGCGTATGGCTGTCATCCCAGCTACTTGGGAGGCTGAGGCAGGAGGATCGCTTGAGCCCAGGAGTTTGAGGTTGCTGTAAGCCAGGCTGAGCCGTGGCACTCTAGCCTGGGCAACAGAGTGAGACTCTGTCTTAAAAAAAAAAGAAAGAAAGAAAGGGCCGACCAAGTACCCAGTTTAATGGATGAAAACAGACTCTCATAAAGACAAGGGATCACAGAATCCATAGGAACATGTAAAGGAATCAAAAAAGAATAAAGACATGGGATCATGAAATTTTCAGAATACAATGTGATTTTAAAAGCTTTGAGGGTTAGGAAGTGACAAGTTACATAAAAGGACAAAGAATTAGTGACATGGCATCAGTTCCTAACAGTAATACTAGAAATCCAAAGACAATAGGGCAATGCCATTAACACTTTGAGGGAATATTATTGCCCACCTGGAATTTTATTTCTAGCTAAAATATCTTTCAAATTCTGGAACTATTTCTAACTATGTTAGGAGATGAAGACATAGTAAGTATACATTTGATGTGCTGGAGATGAAGGTGGGGATTATTTAAAAGAGAACTAAAGATTCTCATATCCCACAGTTACAAGGCAATAAATAATACCAACAGATAATCCCTAAAATTGAAAAATCAAGAAGTAGTAATATAGGCAGTGACTCATGCCTATAATCCCAGCATTTCGGGAGGCCAAGGTGAGAGGATCACTTGAGGCCAGGAATTTGAGACCAATTGGACAACATAGCAAGACCCCACCTCTAAAAAAAAAAATATATTAAAAAAAATTAGCCAGACATGGTGGCACACACTGTAGTCCTAGCTACCTGGGAGGCTGAGGCAGAAGGACTGAACGAGCTCAGGAGTTGGAGGTTACAGTGAGCTATGATTGTGCCACTCCACTCCAGCCTGGGTGACAGAAAAAGACCCTGTCTCAATAACAAAAAAACAACAAAAAGAAGTAGCAATATAAGCATATACGTAAATATGCACATAGACAAAATATATACTCTTCTGGACTTTCTTTTGTGCACTTATATATTAAAATTTTTAGGGTCGGGCGCAGTGGCTCACGCCTGTAATCCTAGCACTCGGGGAGGCTGAGGTGGGCGGATTGCTCGAGGTCAGGAGTTTGAAACCAGCCTGAGCAAGAGCGAGACCCTGTCTCTACTATAAATAGAAAGAAATTAATTGGCCATCTAATATACATAGAAAAAATTAGCCAGGCATGGTGGCACATGCCTGTAGTCCTAGCTACTTGGGAGGCTGAGGCAGCAGGATTGCTTGAGCCATTTGAGGTTGCCGTGAGCTAGGCTGACAACATGACACTCACTCTAGCCTGGGCAACAAAGTGAGACTCTGTCTCAAAATATATATATATATATATATTTTTTTTTAAATGTATAACTACTTCAATTGCTTTAAAGCTCCTTTCAACTAATAAGACACCCTATAAAATATATTAAAGTCTCTCATTCTCTACAGGGGCTTTCTAGTTTGTTAAGATCAGAGTGTAGAAATGGTGGATGGCCTTGTACTTGTTTCACATTTTATGTATTTTAAGAAAAAATAGATTTAAAAGCGAAAAAAAGGAAATCAAAATGTTCTCAAAATCTCAAGTTCTAGTTTCTTACTGAAATAAAAATATTCTATTTTCTATTAGGTCTGCAATATGAAAGTCACATGCATCACAATCTTATTTTGGCCCTTCTCCATGCTACTATTATCAGACAAAAGCCAGACTTCTAAAACAGTAAGTTTTTACAATCAATGTAGGGAAAATGTTTTCAAATGTGTACTTTCTGTACATTTAGTAAAATATCCCAAAGCAACCAAAGAAAGAAAATCCAAACTATCAAAATTAACTCTTTAGTTAGCTGTGTATATTCAAAATCTATGATTTGAGCCAGATTCTAATTTGACAAAAAGCAGCCTTCATGTTTTTAAACTGAGTTCTTTAAAAATTGATTAAAGGAGAAATCTGTGGATTTTTACTATAAAATCAGAGATTAGTTTCCAGACAAAAACCAGTTTAGAATGTAGGAAACTGCTGGGTGGGGTGGCTCATGCTGTAATCCTAGCACTGTGGGAGGCAGAGGTGGGAGGACCAGAACTTGAGAGCTGCCTGAGCAACAGCGAGACCTCATCTCTACTAAAAATAGAAAATTAGCCAGGTGTTGTAGCACCCACCTGTAGTCCCAGCTACTCAGGAGGCTGAGGCAAGAGGATTGCCTGAGCCGAGGAGTTTGAGGTTGCAGGGAGCTATAACAATGTCACTGCATTCCACCCAGGGCAACAGAGTGAGACTCTGTCTTTAAAAAAAAAAAAAAGAAAAACTTAAAAAAATAAACTGTAAAAAACTTTTTTTTCAAAAAATGCATTTTTATGAGGGAAATTGCTGTTGCTGCATTATTATCATTAGTAGTAGTAGTGTGACATTATACCAATGGTAAGAAACAAGAACTATTCTTAGTTCTATTTACTCTTAGTTTTACTAGTCAGTAAAAACAAGCACTATTTCTTTCATTCTATATTCACATAAGGAAAGCACTTTGGGTTGTGTGGTTCTTTAAATTCAATACATAGCTTCATTTCCAATATAAGATATTTTCTTTTAAAAAAAAAACTTTGTGCTGTTAACCCCAGAGAGCTATATATTGGATATTATTTAATTATTTAATAGCCCTAGGTATAATGTTGGTAGTTCTGATTTTCAAAAATTATATACTTTTAAATAATATCCTCATTATAAATGTAATCTTGTATACTAGAATATTAAATTATTATTTACCATGAATTTCCATGTGTATAAATAGAAATACACCAATATTCTTCCTGGAAAGATTATGTAACAGTTGGAAGATACCTGTATAACCAACTAGAATCTCTGTTTGATTGTATGTGTCAGAATTTCCTTAATCTTTAGTATTTCATCCCAATAAAGAAAAACATATGCTCTACCTTTTTCACACTATAATATCAAAAGATTGGATAGATTTATTTTCCTCCAAATGATTTCCTTCCAATGTCTAAGTGCTTGAATGTAAAATTTGGGGAAATTCTGTTAATATCATTCCTGATTAATACATTTCTAATTTTTTTTCTTTTTTAGGAAGTCCAATGTAATTTCACTGAAAAGAATTATTCTTTGATTCCAGCGGATATCAATAAAAATGTTACCATACTTGATCTCAGTTATAACCAAATTACTCTGAATGCTACAGACACAAGGGTTCTTCAGACATTTTTTTTACTCACTGAGCTCTATCTGATTGAGAACAATGTCACTATCTTACATAATAACAGTTTCGGTAATCTCTCCAATCTAGAAATTTTAAATATCTGTAGAAACTCCATCTATATAATTGAACAGGGTGCATTTGCAGGCTTAAGTAAACTAAAACAGTTATATCTTTGCCAAAACCAAATATTACAACTGAATACTGATATTTTTGGGCCTCTAAGAAACCTAAAACTTCTGAATCTGCAAGGCAATTTGATAAGCTATTTTGAAGTACCCCAACTATTTCATCTGGAATTAATAATTTTATATGGAAACCCATGGAACTGCTCTTGTAGTCTAATCAATTTGCAGAACTGGTTGAACACATCAAATGTGACATTAGGTAAGCTATAGTAATTTAAATTAATCAAAACCAAAATGTGAAAAAAAGCAACAGAAAACAAAAACAAAATGTGATTAACTTTTGATGTTCTACCACAGGAAAATCTCTCATATCATGTTTTAAATAAAAGGCAATTATTTCTGTTTAAGGGAAATAGGAAGAAATACTGATAACTAATTGCTAAATAGATGCTCTCCTTCCTCCACCCAAAGGGGAAAAAAAAGAGAAGAAATTTAAATATTCTATGTATGTGAGATGTTACTGTGACTTCATGAATTAAGGTAGCAAAGTCAATACATAAGACTAATTTTTTTAAGTACTTTCTAGAGAGTAGATGAAAACAGGTGTCCTACTTTAATTGCAAAGTATATTCTGAGATCTAGATTGCAATTATAATCTTAATCATAAAATCTTTACTAACAAACTAAGCAACAGATTCTGCATTTAATCTGTGTTTATAAAATGATAAACAGAAATGTGTATTATTCCTTCAATGTGTTGCTAGGCACATATAATAAGAGTTTCTTTCTTATATTTAATAATGACAGATATGTCAAAAAATCCTAGATTAAAATAATTATAAAATGTCAGCTATTCTTATTGTCTATAATACATCTTAATTTATTATTTCTGATTTACCAGAAAATGAGAATATCACCATGTGTAAGTACCCAGATATCCTGAAGAGCTACAATATCAAAACAGTACCTCATAAGGCTGAATGTGGCTCAAAATTTCCTTCACCTGTAACTGAAGATCTTTATATTCACTTTCAGTCCATTAGCAATTCAACATTTAACAGCTCTTCTAACAACTTAACAAAAAATCCAGGTAATGTACTGGTTCCAAATATTTTTATTCTTTTTTATTCATGCTCATGGGGCTATTTAGAACTGAATATTAATATTGCTAAAAGTGTCATTCTAAATAAACTGAGGTATTTCTCATTATCTTTCTCCATTTTAAATTTCTGTAAGCAATGTAAAAGAACAATTCCTGGCCAGGCGTGGCTCATACCTGTAATCCTAGCACTCCGGGAGGCCCAGGCAGGCGGATTGCTCGAGGTCAGGAGTTCAAAAACAGCCTGAGCAAGAGCAAGACCCTGTCTCTACTATAAATAGAATGAAATTAATTGGCCAACTAATATATATAGAAAAAATTAGCTGGGCATGGTGGTGCATGCCTGTAATCCCAGCTACTCAGGAGGCTGATGCAGCAGGATTGCTTGAGCCGTTTGAGGTTGCTGTGAGCTAGGCTGACGCCATGGCACTCACTCTAGCCTGGGCAACAAAGTGAGACTCTGTCTCAAAAAAAAAAAAAAAAGAACAATCCTATGTCAACAAAAGACTTATAAAATACTGGGCTCCTCTGCTAGTTACGAAATACCATAATGCAAATTATTTTACTTCTCTGAGCCTTCATTTTAACTAGTCAAGTCACAAATCTTAATAAACATGAATCAGTAATGGTCTATGTAAATAAGTCTATGTAAATATAAATGGTCTATGTAAATAAGTAATACCTACAAAGATGGGTACTTATTTTGAAAAAAGGTATTCTTTCACCATACTACAAAATATCATTTATTTAGTGTAGTTTTAGTAACTTTTGCCTAAAGAAAACTATAATATATCTTCATTTCTAATGCTAATATTGGTGAGTATTAGGGCATGTGATTATTTTATTTTTGTCAATTTAACAAATTTGTCCCCTCCCTCCCTCTCCCTCTCTCTCTCTCTCATTATTCCATTTAAGAACATGAACCTCTTGGGAAAAGTTGGGCTTTTCTTGTTGGTGTTGTTGTCACTGTACTGATGACTTCACTCCTCATCTTTATTGCTATCAAATGCCCAATATGGTATAATTTCCTGCTTAGTTACAATCATCATCGCCTAGAAGAGCATGAAGTAGAAACCTATGACGATGGTTTTCCTGGAAATCCAAGTTCTCTTTCACAGATACCAGCTACAAACTCTGAAGACACAGTAATATTTGAACAATTACATTCATTTGTGGTGGATAATGATGGGTTTATTGAAGACAAATATATAGATACCCATGAATTATGTGAAGAAAATTAATTTCTTTTAATGTTTAATTTAAAAAATGTTTTCAGTCTATTCGTAGTATAGATATGGAGATTCTCATACGTGACATACCAACCTATAGCTAGTAGACCTTTATAGTAATTACAATATACATAAATATCACAAAATTATGTTTTTCTTATTGTACTGTGCAGGTCCAAATACAACAGCTGACACTCCTTGGTAGCGAACAGTTACATAGTTAGTCCACAATATTAGCATTGCTGTTATGAGCAGGATTCAGGAAACCATACAGACTAGTAAACGAGAAGGTGTACTACAGTAGATTACTCATTAATTAAAATGAATTCTCATATTAACACAGATATTTGATATAATATGTATTAAGTTATACTGAAGTTCCAAACACTAAAGAAATAAAGGTTTTAGATTTATATTATAAATCAAAGTGAGGAATAGAGCCTAAACAATATACTAAGATTGATTTTATGCCCACAGAGTGAATCTATAGAATTGGAAAATGTTTTTAAATCCTTCCTGAATTTGCAAAATAAATTTTAGTTTAGTAGCAATTCAAAGCACAGGCACAGGCACAGGCCAGGCGTGGTGGCTCACGCCTATAATTCTAGCACTCTGGGAGGCCAAGGCGGGCAGATCGCTCAAGGTCATGAGTTCGAAATCAGCCTGAGCGAAACCCCGTCTCTACTTAAAAAAATAAAATGAATTGGCCAACTAAAAATATATAGAAAAAATTAGCTGGACATGGTGGCACATGCCTGTAGTCCCAGCTACTTGGGAGGCTGAGGCAGTAGGATCACTTGATCCCAGGAGTTTTAGGCTGCTGTGAGCTAGGCTGACACCACGGCATTCTAGCCCGGGCAACACAGTGAGACTCTGTCTCAAAAAAAATAAATAAATAAAGCATAGGCACGATGTTTACGCATAATCCCTAGTAAGTTACTTCTGATTTTGGTTATACGGAAAGGCTATCATCATAATGCAGATGGTCACAATTTAATACCATGGTGGCTTCCAAAGTGGGCATCACAATTATCTGTGAATCTTGTTTTTAAAAATATACATTTCTGCCTCTCTCTGAGAGATTTTTATTCAAATGGGTCAGGTGCTGGGGCTGAGGAATCTTTAGGTGGTCCACAGACAGCTGTTTCTATCTATTCATCAGATAGAATAATGTTTCCCAAATTGTTTTCTAGAATACTAATTTCCAGAAAGACATTCAGAAGTATTTACAGGAAAAGAAAAAGGTACCTGGTCAAATTACTATAGGAAACACTGGGTTTAAACAAAGTGAAACAAGATTTTTTACTACAAGACTTATCTAAGACTTTACTAAACTGCTCTCTGATTATTCAAGAACAAAGTATTACGAACTTTTAAACTTACTGCACAACAAAACCCATTCTTTGAGGTACATCTACTAAGGGATCATAGCACAATAATAGTCAAAACAACACAGTTTGGGAAACAATGGCCTGGAGAATGTAATAAGAAAGGTCTTATTATTAATAGGAAATAAATTATTTGTCTATTCCTTATAATCAATTGTCTACAATTATAATTTTAACAACTTATTAATGCAAACAGTGGCATTAAAAACTGTAGCAAACTCTATAATTTTTACCTTCAATAGGTGAGGAAATTAAGTGTATTTATATCTTTCAGAGATAAACATATTTACAAAACACTGAAATATATTTATGGATGAAATAATATTTCTGAGATCTTCTTCAACATAATACATGGGGAAAACCAGTGGCTTGAGGTGTAGAACAGGGTTGGATAGGAGCAGATGGAGCTAGGATATGGGTACATAAGGGTAAAATATACTATTTCTATGTATGTTCAAATTTCTTTCTAATAAAGTTCTTAAAATGTGTACATACTTGGTAATTTCTTAGAAAAAGGAGACTAAAATCATGTATATCTATGTCACAGTCTAGAGAATAGTCATTTTAAAAGTTACATAAATAGTAAATTTAATACAAATGTCTACTTAGGTAAAATAAAAACTGTTTAGGATGATATACCTGTGAAATAGAAGAAATGGCTCCTTTATAATACCTATTTGCTTATGTGTGTTTATAGAAACATTTTCAATAAAGAACATAAATATATTATGTCTAATTTCTTAATATATATCAATTATACTGTGTTTTAAATCTCAATTATAAGAATGAGATAATTATAGAAACACAAGGTATCTTTTTCTTTTTCTTTTTTTTTTTGAGAGAGAGGGTCTCACTTTGTTGCCTGGGCTAGAGTGCCAATGCGTCAGCCTAGCTCATAGCAACCTCAAACTCTTGGGCTCAAGCCATCCTTCTACCTCAGCCTCCTGAGGAGCTGGGACCACAGGCATGCACCATCATGCCTGGTTAATTTTTTTCTATATATATTTTTAGCTGTCCAAGTAATTTCTTTCTATTTTTAGTAGAGACAGGGTCTGGGTCTTGCTCAGGCTGGTCTCGAACTCCTGACCTCGAGCAATCCGCCCGCCTCCTCCCGCCTCGGCCTCCCAAAGTGCTAGGATTACAGGCGAGAGCCACCACGCCCGGCCCTACAAGGTATCTTTTTCTAAGTAATCTATCCTTCTGCCAAAATATCATTTCCTAATTATAATATGCAAATATTTGAGAAGTGTAGTAAAATGAAATATAACAATAAATGAGCAAAGACTATATCTAATCTCATATTCAAGAGCCTCTAATTAAATATTGAGTAAATATCTGACTAAACAAAGTTTAGTAAATAAATTGAGAAAATATCTGACTAAATATAAATGTCTGACTAAACAAAGGAAAATAAATAGGTATAAAATTACAATTACATATGTTTTTCAAGGACAACTGATTTTGACTAATATCAAACTAGAAAGTGTAGAACATCAGAATAGGAAAAGAATCATTAGTTCACAAGCAGGCATGTAAAACTGAATTAAAACCAGGTGTCTAGGCCGGGCGTGGTGGCTCACGCCTGAAATCCTAGCACTCTGGGAGGTGGAGATGGGTGGATTGCTCGAGGTCAGGAGTTCGAAACCAGCCTGAGTGAGACCCCCGTCTCTACTAAAAATAGAAAGAAATTAATTGACCAACTAAAAATATATATACAAAAAATTAGCCGGGCATGGTGTATATTTATACAAAATAGGTCATATTCTTGGTTTGCATTTGCTTTAGATGATATTTCATTAAGGCCAAAAATTTAATGAAGAATAATTATGATAACTATATTACATCTACTGACATAGTTACTTTATTACCAGAGTTAGAGGTAATTGGTATTTAGTCTTTAATAGGTTATATATTAAAATGCACATATAGTCTACATATATGATATAGATTACTAATATAAATATTAATATTAAATATCAATGCTAATGTAATAATGTAAATAGTCTACTAATAACATGTCTTTCAATAGACTGGGGCTAAAATATCACAATTCAAATAAGTTAAAAGCCCAGGTTAAAATTATAAATGGTAGATATAAAGATGTTCTTTTCCATTTTAGATTTGCAACACCTAGAGGCAGAAATCCTAATATATAATCTATGTAGTAATTTTCTTCGTACAGAATTTAGCTTTTATTTTCTTTTATTTATGTTTTTGAGACAGGGTCTTGCTCTGTTGTTCTAGCCTGGTCTAGAGTGCAGTGGAGTCATCATAGATCATTGCAACCTCAAACTCCTGAGCTCAAGTTATTCTCCTGACTTAGTCTCCCCAGTACCTGGGGCTACAGGTGTGTGTCACTATGCTGGGCTAATCTTTCTATTTTTATAGAGATGGGGTCTCACTCTTACTCAGGCTAGTCTCCAACTCCTGGCCTCACGTAATCCTCCGGCCACTCAGAATTTAGCTTTCTAATGGTAAATGGGGATAACAGATAGATAAATCAAATGTGTATTGCAAATATCTAACTTTTTGAAATAAAAAAAGAAACAGAAGGGCCAGGCACTCATGCCTGTAATCCTAGCACTTTAGAAGGCCAAGGTGGGAAGATTGCCTGAGACCAAGAGTTTGAGACTAGCCTCAGCAAGAGCAAGACCCCATCCCTAAAAAATTAGAAGAATTTAACTTGGCATAGTAGCGCACACCTATAGTACCAGCTACTAGGGAGGCTGAAGCAGGAGGATCACTTGAGCTCAGGAGTTTGAGGTTACAGTGAACTATGATAATGCCACTGCACTCTAGCCCAGGTAACAGAGTGAGTTCTTATCTCAAAAAGAAAAAACAAGCAAAAAAGAAAAAACAGGAGAAAACAGTTAAAATTTGTAAGAAAATAAATGACTCATAAATTAAACTACCTAAAAAAGCTCATTAATGGATCTGTTTGATTTTTAAATGAGTTGTACTTACGCTTGTCTTTCAGTAAATATGATATCCATACTTTGTGTTTCTCGATCATTTTGAGCTTTAAGCTGAATAAACAATTAACACAGAAGTTAGTGATTAAAAAATAACCATTAAACCGAACTTTCTCTTTGAAGGCTACTCTGGTTATAAAATAAATTAGAAATTATTATAATAATCCTAATGCCACATGCAACGTTTGAGAAAAAACATACAGTAATTGTTTCATTTAACAAACAATAGCAGGTAAAAAGAAATAGTCTTTTTAACAGGCATTGTAATTTCACACCAGAAACAGTCATTGTTCTTGAGTAATCTGTCAAATAATCCAATGTAGACTTAATTTATATAAACAGCATTTCAAGAATTTATTGGGTGTTCAATAAATATTTGATTAATAATATGTTGAATTCAGAACCAACACAAGTTTTATTTTTAAGTCATTCAGGATTTGACCTGAGCACACTCCGTGTTGACTCTACTTGTGCATAGTCAGCATAGAATATTGACTTATCCCAAATAACTGACAAAACACATAAAGAACTTTTTACTTTATATCTGTAATTAAAATATAATTTTTAATTGTGAATTCTCTTGTATACTCAATTATCATGGCTTCAGAACCCCAAACTTAGAAGTCATTTTATAAATTCTATGTTTTCATAGAATAAATAGTCTTTGATCAGGTAAATTAATTATAAGCTCTAAGTTATGAGTAGTATGTTATTTTCACCAAAATGTTTATACTCAAAATAACCTAGCTTTAACATATTTTATTGTTTTCTACCAAATAATTATTCTAAGAACATTGAATATAAATTCTCATTTACCAATGAAAAGTTAGTATATGTTTGGCATTATATCTATTTATTTTTCTCCCTTTGTTACAAAAACTATGTAAATAATGAATGAGATGTGCGCCATCTGGGGGATGATCATGCTGGAAACTCAGACTTGTGGGGGGTGGGGGGAAAGGGCATTTATTGAAACCTTAAAATTGTACCCCCATAATATGCCAGAAAAAAAAAAAAACTATGTAAAGGTACCATTTATCTCCATTGAGTACTTAGCTCCATATATGCAAAAATTAAACCAGAAATATTATAAATTAATATAGACAAGAACATGTAGATGGCATTCTCTTAATGCTGAGTGCAAACACAGCATTGTAGATAGACACTAAACATCCAACCAACAGAAAGAAATTTAAAAAGAACAAT